TTTAGGGTATTGATATGGTTATGTAATATATAATGTATTATAAGTAAAAAATTATTTTTATTTAATAGAGAAAATTCATAGACATAAATTACTTACATACAGTCTCTCTCAAGAACTTATTGGAAAAATATTAAAGTTCTAAGATTTTCGTTATTACCTGAAAAGAAAAAAATATATTAGTTATAAGTTTGTATACATATTTACAAATATATAAATATAAAGTTTACTGTTGTTGAAATATATGAAAGCTTAAAAATATAGGATCTTCCATTATAAGTCAATTGTCAAGGACACAAAAATAATTTTAGAAAAAAAAAGAAAAAATAGCAGAAGTCTAGCTAAGATGGAATGAAACGACCTGTCACATGATGAACAAAGCTTAAAAAAGAAAAGCATCAATCCAAATCATGATTTTCCTTCAAAAAAACTAGTTAAAAATATATAAGCGCTACTTAATCAACTAGAGACCAGAAAACAACAGAAGAAACAAATCTATTATCTGTCTTACAGACTAAAGGAGAAGCTATCAGAGAAACTTATTAGTAAAATTGATGTGACTAGTTCTAGTAGGATCTTGTAATTGGAAAAGTTCGTCCACAGTGGTCGGACTTTAAGCCGATTTATCTTCCTCAATTAGTTTCTTTAAGACTGAGGCCTAATACTAAACAACAATCTAACAAACCTTGTATAGAGTTTCTATAGTACCAAGTGGATCAACCAGAACCATTAACCTACCGAGAGTTGGTTCCCAGATATCCCTAAAAACATTATATACTTCAATGCCCACTCTAAACAATTTATCACAAATATCAGTTAACTTAAAGCAGTTGACACTGAATTAACGGTAATTTGCTGGAATCAGTCTACAAGAGCATTGTTTATATTTCACAATGCAAATGTGACACACTCATAATATTTTAATAGTTCAACCAATGGCAGGTCTTGGAGCATTTTTTATTGTCGCAGCACTTGTACTAATTACAAGGCTTATAATTACAGTAACAAAGATTTACAGTTAGCGACTAACATATTTACGATCACTTGTAAGGTTTTAAACGCTTAATTTGGACATAAAAACTGTACATTTCTATTAAAAAAGGGTATTGCATCACCGGTGCCTTTATAGAGGAAAGGTAAAAGGCAAATAAGCCGAGGCAGTTGCCGGGTCAGTAAGTGGAAGCCAAACGGCGAGCAATTATCGTTAGCCACGATCATTTAAAAGGGAACTCCAAGGCGGAGGACCTTCCCGAAACAATTAAGAGCCTACTTGGAGTGACTTTCTTAGAAGTGACCATCAACCAATTTTTGAGACTAATACTGGTAATGATTAAATGTATCCCATATGTTTGTTATTAAACATAATAATAATCCATGCAAATTATTCGACTGAGCTTCTACTTTTTCATTTCAACCGTAACATTTTACTTTTACTCACTTTGCTCCGCTCTTGTTTGCCAAATTATTTTCTTCGAATTTGTTACACATTTACACATTTATTGTAGAGCATATGTTAGTATTTTTTTAATTTTATTTGGCATTGGAAAGGAATTTAGAGAGCGACGCTTGATCGAAATAAACAAGTAAGAAAACACAAGGAAATAAGAAATAAAAGCAAAATAACTATATACCATACAAGCTACAACAGTGAAATCTTAACATAAGTTTAGATCTGTTAACTAAACAATGGTAAAAAGACCACCAAACTTTTAACAGGGCATGTTAATGTTTTTGCAAAATGAATAGTATATTTTGCGTTACATTGCGGCTGGTAGCAGTTATGGCAATAATAACCTTCAACTTTTTCAGCTGTTGTTTGATTTGTAAAGAATTTTCAGTAATAGTGCATTAGTATCTTTGCAGCTGTTAACAGAGCTAATAGAACTTATTCGACCGAATCAAAAAGTAAAAAAAATTTTTAATTTTTTTATTTTTTACAGAAGAGCTGATAATTGTAGCAAAAGGTACTCTGTATAACTGCATATAATGTAAAATTAAAATTGAGAAGTTTCTCTGAAAATTTATGAATTACTCACAAACAAATTGAGTAATATCCAATTGTCAAAGTTAAAGACCGAAAAATTTGAACAAATCAACAATGGTGTCTGTATACATTAGCAGTCTAGTTCGCAGTCAATTAGGAGTCCCCTAAAGGGATTTAAGGTAAACAAGTAAGGAAGTGCTAAGTTCGTGTGTAACCGAAAAATTTTACTCTCGCAATTTGCAAATTAAGAAACCTCACATATTGACCAATATATAAGGTATAAAGTAAACCCAATGTTTGAAAATCCGAATATTAGATATAAGGGGACTAGGGACCCTGATTTCATTTATTTTAGTCAAGAGGATACACTTTTATTAGAAAGAGACTCTTTCTAAATTTCACTAAGATTGTTTATATATTGCATGACATATGCGGTATGCCATAAAGTCAACTGAAAGTTCGCAAATATTTATATTAGGTAAATGAGGACTAAGGAAAGTATTAATCCAATTCAACATATTTTTGTTACAAGGGTATACTATTATCAAAGAAACATTTTTCCCAAATTTCCATAACATATCTCGCATTTTGACCGATATGTTCGGTAAAAAATCAGCCATCTGCAAAATGAAATGATATAATCCGATTTTGAAAAATATTTAGCGTTAGAGGGCAGGCACTTCATTGATGTTTGATTTGTATACTGTGAAGTGAAAGAATCAAATGGAAATTTGAAAATTTATTATATGAAAAGTACCCAAGGTTGTCATCGGATTTAGTACTTTTTCGCAGTGTATAATAGGAATGTTATTAGTTCCTGAGGTATACTCGTCCTGCCAAAATCGGTATTTGTTGCAAAATAAAACACGGGCATCTTTATATCGCTTCTTCATTCGCGGCTGGGACATAATTCTATTTTTAGCCTGCAACTCATGCCTTCGCTAGTTTCTGCTGATAATCGACCAGTCCGCTTGATGACATCATAGTTTTGAGGATCTTTTAAAAAATTTACGATTTTCGATCGTATTACGATGTCGGTTCACTGACGTAGCAATTCGACCAATTTTTATTCGGCTTCATGCATTCCAATTATACTACACCGCTCTCTATCCGAAAGTTCTGTAACACGTGGCATTCTAACTATATTATTCTCGAAATACACTGAGAGAAAATTTTGCACATATAATTCTTTTACGAAGGTAGTATTTCACCTAAAGGTGGATGGTGTCACGCCCATTGTTCAATTTTAACACCTGCTCTGCACCATCTTGATTGTGTATTTAATCTGTGAGTTAACGCATTTTTAGTAGTTTTCATGATTATGATCTGATTTTATAGATTTTCAGAGTATATAAAAAAATACCAAACGGATTTCTTCTCAGTAAGTTTGGTTGAGTTAGCATCAGCGGTATTGAACATATGTACATGTACTCATTAAGAGGGAGGAGCCACGCCACTTCTAAAAAGGTTTAAGCCCACAGGTGTCCCTCGCTACTGTGATTCCTTGTACTAAATTACAGCTTTGTATCTTCATTTAGTGCTTAGTTATGACAATCTATAGATTTTCGTTTAATGGAGACAGAAAGTCACTCGGAATTCAACTCGTCTCATCATCCTAATCATTTTAATACATAACTCTATATTTATTTCGATAAGTTTTAGATGAAGAATAATAGCTTTCTCTACTCTCTGTTGCACCATGTTGCGATTGTATAAAAATTCGGATCTAAAAACAAACGTTTCACAACTTTTTTATAATTTCAAAACAACATTTTACATTTAATTTTTTCTTTTAAATGTCATCCCAAAGTTTAAATACCGAAGAAATTCTGTAAAGAATAAACTCATACAGCGGAATTCAAAGCGACCCAGAATTTTATTCCTTTTATATTTCAACTAAAATTGAGTGCATAGCAAATCTAAGCAGACGACTCAGAACAGATGAAATTAAATCTTTGTTAAAATCAGAATACCGAAAAAAGTTATAATAAAAATTGGTGGAATTAGTACTGAATCAAAAAAACATAGCGAATAACTAACACTGTACGTCTGCAAGAAATTATTTACTAATATGCGTAAATGTAAAAACTATTGCTAAAGCTGCTCACGGAATTTGATATAGAAATTTTATAAATACAAAACACAGTATAGAATTTTTTGGAAATCAATCCTGAAAAATGTGGATCCCGATAACTTCGAGATTTTTAAAATTTTTCAAAAATTTCAAAAAGTGAACAGTAAACAGTGATTTGTTGATAAAATAACAAATTTTATCTGAAATTATCACAAAAACTCAAAGTTAAATACTCAAATCAATGTTGTAACGAAACTTTCTAACAAAGCTTGAACGCAATACCTATATCCGACACTTCAGTTTTTGCAATATTTTTATTGCTGAATAACAACTCTCCAATGATGCACAGCTTACTGGTGACGATGATTGTGATGTTGGTGCTCTGAAGACATACTGCTACGTCGTCGACAATGACGATTGATGGTCAAATTGCTTGAAATTAGGCCAAGCAGATGCACACACACAACAAAATGCACGCAATGACACATAAAAGCCCATATAAATAAACACCTTATAAAAACCAAAATCGTGTACGAACACATAAGTTTATTTACAGGTACAAGTTGTAGATTTGCAGTTATTACTTTTAGCTTGTACACCTGACATCTACAGTAATATGTTTAAAATGTAGACTATAAAAATATCTGAAAATAAAAGCGAGTTTACGACACATTAGCAGCAGCAATAACAACAGCAACAATATCCAAAGAAATAAAAGTAAAAAATTTATCGTGGAAAATTTAAAACAAAAGACGGCAGTTTAAGAGGTGTATAGAAAAACCAGAAATTAAAAATCCCCAAATGTATTAGTATGAATGCAACGCACACATTCATGCGGATTCATACAGGCCTGTAATTAATTATGTACATAATATGCATACATGTTTATTTGTTACACAAACATATGCAATAATATGTAAAGCACTCATGTATGTTCGCTGGCAGTACCTGCAACTAGTATTCACTCAAACTTGAAGCGAAACAGGCGTTGCCGGCATGGCCAAGACAAGAGTAACTGCAGAAGAAAGTGGAAACCTGTTGTTTTTGTTGTACGTCTACAGGTTTTTGCTCTCATTACGTTAACAGTACCGTATTATTAGTTCATATAAAAGAAAATTGAAAGTTGAATTTGTGATGCAAGTAAGAATAGTAAAACAGGTCGGATTTTGATGAAAAGCGAAATTTGTGTTTTTGAGTAATAAACTAAAAGCATTTCTTCTCCTAAGGCTAGACTTGTTGCCACAGTTGCTTTTAAAGTACAAAAAGGAGTCAGTTATAAGAAAAATAACAATTTCCTCACACAAAATCATCAATAAAATCAAAAATAATAACAATTCCAAACTTTTTGTTGCCGAACGCCTCGGTTGTTAAAAGCAAAATCATATAATTCCAACTAACATTATATGTATAACTATTCTAAGCTATTGACTATCATGATATAAAGGTGCAGATCATCGCTACTTAAATCATTCAGCACCTAAATATTTAATTATATTAAGAATCGATTCTCGATTTCGATTTCGATTTTATCCTTTTTGATTATTCGGGAACAAGAACCCTTTCTTTCGATTTCAATCGATTCTAATTTAAAAGATCAATAATTTTTATAGTTAATAATCGCAATGCCATGAACGGAAAATTCAAATTTATTTAATAATAACTAAAACACAAAAATAATATAGAAAACTGTCTTTCTCACTCGTTGTACTAGTGGGTTATAACTTCAACATTTTAACCAAACTAGTCGTACTTTTATTATGATTCAGCTGCTTTCGCACATTTATTACATTGGACATTAAATCCATTATTTACTTTTTAAAATAAATCCACACGTTGCTTGGCGTCATTTTACTAAATATATTGAAAAATAATAATATTTAGTTGCAAATATATAAATAATAAGTACTGGAAATAAATAAATATATATTTGTATGACTATCTATCACACGGTTTGTTATGATCTTATAATGGTATGTATAACTTGAAACTATTTACCTAACCGTAAAATCGAATATCAAGAATCGATTACTCAAAGGTCGACTCCAAAAATCGATTATTTTATGAGAAAAGTGGAATCGGAATTGAGTTAGCCATCCCTTGTTAAACAATTTAAAAAAATATGATGTATGTATATCAGGGATGGTATTTGATATTTTTGAATTGTGCCGAATTTAGTCCAAAAATGTGCAAAAATGTAGTTGAGAGTACCAAAATTAATCAAATTCGAATTTTTTTGTGAATAATTTTTTTTTTCAAACAACTTATTAACACAAAAAAAGAGTACACGTATTTTTAATACTTACGTGTATATTAATTTGATTTATGATACATATTTTGTACTACTTCTTATGTGTATTCATAAATTAACAAATAATTTCAATATAATATACATAATAATTTCCAAATAAAAATTTTGCTACGAATATATTATAGATAAACATATATTATATATGTATATATGTACTCGTTTTCGTCTTTCATCAAATAGTTCCAAAAGTCGATTCTGAGCAAATTTCCGACTAGAGTTGAAAGGGCGGAAAAGTGCAAGTTGTGAGTACTTTTCCATCACTGATATATATCATTCATGACAAGCTTCTAAAAAACTCTGTAATCAGCACTTTCAACTAGGACAAATTTAAAAATGGTAAGGTTTACATTTAAAAAAAAAAAAAAAAAATTATATTATATTTCTTGTGTAGATAAGTTTTTAAAGAAAAAAAATCATAGTAGAATCAAATCCATTTATCTCGATTTCCGGCAAACTACCACTACGATTCCTTTAGAGAATTGTTATATAGCAAAGTTGAAGATAATGAAGAGATCTATGACTTTTGTATTTACACCTTTTTCTCATAACCTCAAAATGTATGTGGAAAATTCAAATCGAGATAAACCGTGTTTAACTTTTACCGGCCTCAGATCTCCCGTAAAATATTTATTTATTTTATATTATATACAATATATATTAAAATGGTTTTCAACTACTAAGAATTTCTTTTATTTATTACCATTTTCAAAGGCTTCTGCCCTGGCTTATATGAATCCAGAGTCAAAGTAACTCGCGAAGCGCCATTTTGCTGCGAATAAGTTATTCTATTCTCTATGGAAAATAATCAAGAAACATTTAACGAAATTCTGGTACGCATAAACTGCTGAAACCTCTGAAGCCGAAGAAGGTCCATATTAAATAAGGATGTTGCAGTAATTTAATTGATGGAATGTACAAGTAAATACCATAGGTATAATTAAAAAATTGAACATGGAATATGGATATCCAATGAAAATAAACAAGTTTTGTTAAAAAATTGTTATTTATTAGAGTTGCCACCTATATTTAAATTTAAACTGTGGAAAAAGTAAAAAGACAAGAAAAACACCCAAATACAAAAGATTCCTTACAAGGACTTTATTCCGATTGTTGAGTTTGTATGGCAGCCATATGCTACAGTGATCCGATCTCAACAATTTCTTCGAAGATTCCGCCGTTGCCTTGAACATTAATCCGTGCCAAATGTTGTGAACAAATCTAGTCAAATGAAAAAGTGTTCCAAAAAAACGACGTGTGCAAAGTTTCAGATCGTTATCTCAAACACTGAGTTCACGTATATACATACAGACGGATAGACGGACAAATGGACGGACGAACAGACTGATGGATATAGCTAAATCGACTCGCCGTTCATTTATATACTTTATAGAGTTTGAAACTTTTCCTTTTGGGTGTTACAAGCATCGTGACAAACTTAATAAACCCAGTTCAGGATATAAAAATTCGTTCATTGTTCGAAGTAATATTTAGTGTTAAGAAGTTTCCTTCTTCTTCTTCTCTTTCTGCGCAACTAAGTTACCGATGTTTGTCAATAGATGGCTCCAACAGTTAGTGGTGATCGATTGTGATATACACAAAACGTGATAAACTTAACCTAGACATTTGAAATAGAAACTGTGTTTCTACATTAGTGACTTTGTTTATATACTTTTGGTTGTAGGAATATGTGCAAAAAAGTTTACAGAGGTGCTGCCCCAAGTGAAACAACGTGCCGAGATTGGTTTCTTCGCTTCAAAGACGGCGATTTCAATATTAACGACCGCCCGCATGAAGGAATGTCAAAAACCTTCGAAGAAGGTGAATTGGAGACGTTGCTCGATGAGGATCCGTGTCAAACGCAAAAAGAGCTTGCTTGCATTGGTAGCCACACGCCAAGCCATTTCAAAACGACTACATGCGCTAAAAAAAAAGGAATTCTGCTGCCTCACAACTCTCGGCCTCACGTTGCCAAACCCGTTAAAACATATCTGGAAACGTTTAGATGGGAAGCCTACCCCACCCGCCATATTCCCCAGATATTGCACCGTCCGATTATTATTTTTTCCGTCTGATGGCACAGAAGCAGTTCCACTCACAAGACTTAATCGAAAAATGACTTGATTCTTGGATAGCATCACAAGATAACAGTTTTACCGTATTGGTATTCGAGCTTTGCCAGAAAGATGGAAAAAAGTTGTGACTAGCGATGGGCAATACTTCGAAAAATTATTTTGTAACCATTTCTTTACAATAAAATTGCATTTTCATTAAAAAAAAACAGCGAGAACTTAGTTGCGCATTTAATATATTATGAAAAAATTGAAATTGAACAAATTGACTAGATAATATTGATCGATACCAATTTTGAGATCAAAAAGTTGAAGCGCAAGTTTTTTTTCGCAAATTAGTTTCTAAAAACATCGCGTTGCAGCAGTTATAAAAGTCACAACAAACATTGCCAAAAGTTTGTATTATTGTTGTTGTTGACATTTAGTTAAAATATTTGTTGTATTAATGTTATTAGATACTAACACAGCACGAACCTGCTGACCAACTTACACACATTTTTTAATTAATCGAACAAATCAAATGCCGACCAGCCATGTACAATACATAAGTAAAACCGAGATCGAGAAACGGTAAAATTGGGCAAAGGCAACAACAACGGGTTTGACGCTGCCCATGGCTAAAGGAATGCATTGGGAAGTTCAGCTTATATGAGTATGAATGTATGAGTTGTATATAAACGCACACTTGCACCTCGCATATGCTATGGCTAGATTTAAATAGCCAATGTCGCAATTTTGTGCATGCGTGACCTAAACGGCTTTAGTGGAGAACATTTACAGGCATTCACCGACATATGTACTTCTTTGTACATTTATATATTTATATATATATGTAGTGTTTTTATAGTTGTTAAATGACAAGCAAGGAGGACAAAAGTGATGATTGCTTATAAATACATATGCAAGTATGTAAGCATCTTCGTGTAAAATAACTATGATGTCGCTACCTCAAAGGTAAAGCAACAAAAACAATAGCAATGACATCAAAGTCAGTTGTGGTTGTAGTAGCCACTATTTATGCGCTTGCCTACAGAAATATTATTTTTTATGTGGCTTTTGAAAAGCTCTTCGCCATTGCTATTGTGTAGCCGACTAACTAACGACAACATAATCAACACCAACAACAACAATAGCAACATCGGTCGGCGGTCAACAGTTTTGTTGATGAAGATAGTTGAAGGAAGGGGATTTTTTGTTGTTGTTGTTGGATTTTTTGCTACTGCGTGGCGAATATGAATTATTTGAAGTTGTGAAATGCATACCGGCTAGGATTTGGTGTTGATCAGCACTTGCTAGGTGCCATTGTATTTTACGAAATTTCCCACAAATCGATGCTTATTGTTAGTCTTCACATCAGTTTCATTTCGCTATAATAAAAAGAGCGGTGGAATTGCGAGGAATTTATAAATATTTACGTCTAATGGGTGTTTTTTATTTGAAAAAATGCTTTTATGACTTGTTTTTAGAGACTTTATAAAATTTCGGTTGTCTTTATGTTATTGTGGCCGTTTATCACGTCCTACAAATGGTTATTTGAACTTTAAAATGGCTGAAAAACTCCTTTTCGCAAGAATAGTCATAAAAATTAAACACTTCTTTTAGAATATTTTGTATCAAGACAGCGGAAATCTTGCCTTTACAATTTGCGGGTTTTTCAGAGGATGGTCGAGTAATGTAATTTTTTAATCAGATAAATGATTACCTAGAAAATATGTACCTAATTGCTGCTGTAGTGAAAAATATTTGGTGGATATCAATATCGGGTTTCCTGCGACCTAAGGATGCCGCTCTGATACATATCTCTTAAGCAGTTGCAGTTTTAAAGATAATAAACTCAAAAATAACTCGGGATTTGTGCTAACTATTTTCTTGTTCTTGAACGTTAGAAATTGGATTTCGTGATATACTAACAAAATCAAAGTGGACTCACAAAATGGAAGAATATGTTTAAAAAAACAGTGTTGGTGCAGATTCAGACCTGTATGAACAACCAAAGGCACGGCAGAATTTCTAGATATACCCAGAAACATTATAATTGTGTGTTATTTCTATACTGTCAATCAGTACCAAATAACACCAACTAGGCTAAACTCACCATCAATGACTTTGTTAAGCATACCCGACACTGCACAGTAATCAATTTAGTGGAGTCTACGAAACCAGTTGAAGCTTTTTATACCCTCGCACCTTGTTGCTACAGAGTATAATAGTTTTTCTCACCTAACGGTTGTTTGTATCACCTAAAACTAATCGAGTTAGATATAGGGTTATGTATATATAAATGATCAGGATGAAGAGACGAGTTGAAATCCGGGTGACTGTCTGTCCGTCCATTCGTCCGTCTGTCCGTCTGTTCGTCCGTCTGTGCAAGCTGTAACTTGAGTAAAAATTGAGATATCTTTATAAAACTTGGTACACATGTTTCTTGGTACCGTAAGACGGTTGGTATTGCAGATGGGCGTAATCGGACCACGCCCATAAAACGCTATAAATTGCCATAACTAAGCTTCACAATAAGATACAAGACTGTTATTTAGTATGCAGGATCACAATAGGGAGGGACATCTGCCGTTTAAAATTTTTTTTAAAAAGTGAACGTGGTCCCGCCCCCTCATAGATGTAATGTGCATATCTCCTAAAGCGCTAAAGCTATAATACCAAATTCACTGAGAACAAACGTTTTAGCACCTCTATCGACAGTGCGAAAATGTGTGTAACCAGGTGACAACCCCGCCCTCTCCTCATATAACGGTACTGTTAAAAACTACTAAAAGCGCGATAAATCAAGCACTAAACACGTCAGAGACATTAAATTTTATCTCTGGCATGGTATAAGATGACTTAATAGGAACCGCGTTCAAAATTAGACAGTGGGCGTGGCACCGCCCACTTTTAAGTGAAAACTCATATCTTGAGATCTGCTTAAACGATTTCAACCAACTTCGGTATATAACATTCTTCTCATATTTGTATGTTATAGTGCGAAAATGGGCTAAGCCGCATTACAACCACGCCTGTTTCGTATATAAACCATTTTAAATTCTGATTATTTCACTTTCCATCAAGCAAATCAAGCAATAATGATTGTGTTGGGGTAAAACTTTGCGTGAATAATGCGTTTAAAATATGCCACCTTGTGACCCAAAAATTGTCTAAATCGAACTAAAACTGTTCAAGCGCCTAGGTACTGAATATGTGGACCCCCGTGCCTACAGTTGACTTTTTACCGAAAATATCGGTCAATGTCTAAGATATATAATTTAACTTCATATAATAAGATAAATAAATGAAACTCTCGATAATAGTATGTCTTTGCGTCAAAAATGGGTTGAATCGGATCAATACTTCCTTTAATATAAAATTTTGCCAACACCTGAAGTAATTTCCCGGGCTTTGATCCTTGCAAGTTGCGAGAGTATAAAATGTTCGGTTACACCCGAACTTAGAACACTGCTTACTTGTTATAACTGTATTTGTTTTTCTCTTTATCATGAGCCCTTTAGTAGATCTAAAGTTTTAGTAGATCAAAATCACCTCTCATATGTTCAAATTTGAGCAGTTGAGGTAATTTCACTTGCTTTGTATATCCAAAACATCAGAAATCCCATGTACTTTCACTTCTCAATATAATTTGACAGAATTTATTGGTGACTTTTCCCAAACACAGTTGCTCAGAAAATCCCTCTTCAGACATCGAAATGTATGAGCTATTGTAGTAACCTTATTGGTACACGGAAAATTCTAATTTTCAAAATTTCATATAAAAAAGGGTATCATTGCAAAAAAATGTGAAACTGTCATGCATAAAATCTCAAAGTTAATATTTACAATTATGCATATGCCATTTAACATAGATAAAATGCCTCTTTAGCAAACATTGTGTTGCATGCCACATCGTAATACATGTTTAATAACGCGATAATGCGATTTAACG